AAATGAACCCTTTTCCAAATTAAATGAAACCTTTTCCAAATTAAATGAAACCTTTTCCAAATTAAATGAAACCTTTTCCAAATTAAATGAAACCTTTTCCACTTGAAATGAAACCTTTTACAAATAGAATGAAACCTTTTCCAATTGAAATGAAACCTTTTACAAATAGAATGAAACTTTTTCCAAATTAAATGAAACCTTTATTCTTATATAAGGAAATATAATATTTGCAGTAATTTTAAACCAATATTTGAAAATTAAATCAAAGAATATTAACAAATATAATTGTATGGCTATGTAATTAACATAAATATTCTTTAATTCGGTGTGATTTCATTTAATATCTTTACTACATAAAACTAAATAAATAGTAATACAAACTGGGGTATTTCTTGACATTTTAATAAATAAATATTTAAGAACAAGAATTGAATACCCGGTCCTAAATGCGAAATACATATTTGACTTAATAAATTGTTGATGATAAGTTAACTGCTTATCTTAATGAAGGGGATCCCGACTTGCAGCTTGTGGGATTTTCAAAACCATGTCCATAAAGTAGTTAGAACCATCTTTAGCATTGGAGAATAAAGCGGTAAGAATTTAAGGTTGCATCTTTTGGATTCTATCCAATATTTTATGTCATGTCCATTGTGTATTTGAGCGTTATTTTCCAACTCTGGATTGATTTTCTCAAAAAAAATTTCTATAAATAATTTAAATCTGTCTGCATTGACACTGGAATTAGGATTCCAGGTTGACTTTCTATATAGAACTTGATCAGACTTAAAACTTGTGGTGTCAACAACTTAATTCTATTTCCTCCACGCTTATTTTCCTTCAATGTTCCAAAATTGTTTTGTATCTTCTTATAAATGTTTTTTCGGAATTTATGTTTATGCAGGTTAAATTTGCAGCCTCGGAAATGGTTCTCCCCTCTTCATAGAATTTAAATAATAACAATTTCATGCATTTTGTTATTTTGTTATACTGACCCAATTTGTTTCGGGGTCTTGTAGATGTAGCTTCGGTAGGTTCTGGATCATTTCCACTTGCAATGCTTGGCGAGGATATTGATTCTTCCTCAGGTTCCCAATTATCAGAGCTTGCCGAGCTAAAATCAGGTTCGCATTTATTTTAAACGTGGCTATTTTTAAATACAGTGAACTCTCGATAATGTGAACATCCAAAACAGTAAACTCTCGACAATGTGAAGTAATTACAAACAAAATTTTGGAACATTGAAGGAAAATAAGCGTGGAGGAAATAGAATTAAGTTGTTGACACCACAAGTTTTAAGTCTGATCGAGTTCTATATAGAAAGTCAACCTGGAATTACCCTCAAAGCCATAAAAACTAAACTGTTGAGAGAAAATGATATAAATATTTCCACAAGCTGCATAGAATATGGATTACGGAAATTAAAAATTACGTTTAAGATGGCCTCTATTGAAATAGAACGAAAGAATGACTCCAGAACATTAGGCTTGAGACAAAAATATGCTCAAGACTTTACAAAATGGATACCCCAACAAGGAGAAAAATTTATATTCATTGATGAGTGTGGATTTAATCTTCACATACGAAGAACCCAAGCCCGTTCAAGACAAGGAACAAGAGCACACATTGTGTTGCCTACGGTCAGAGGTCGTAATGTCACTATAATTGCAGCAATAAACAACGCGGGAGTTGTACATCACACAATCGTTTCTAATTCCAGTGTCAATGCAGACAGATTTAAATTATTTATAGATTTTTTTTTTTTTTTTTTTTGAGAAAATCAATCCAGAGTTGGAAAATAACGCTCAAATACACAAGCGACATGACATAAAAAATTTGATCGAATCCAAAAGATGCAACCTTAAATTCTTACCGCCTTATTCTCCAATGCTAAATCCAATCGAAAATGCATTTTCAAAAATAAAATTATGTCCAAGAGCTGAGCTGTGTGACGTTTCAATGGAACATAACATTGTTGATGTAATCGAGCGAAGTATTCAAAAGCTTACTCGGCAAGATTGTTCTAACTACGTTATGGACATGGTTTTGAAAATCCCACAAGACTGCAAGTCGGGAACCCCTTCATTAAGATAAGCAGTTACCTTATCATCAACAATTTATTAAGTCAAATATGTATTTCGCATTTAGGACCGGGTATTCAATTTTTGTTCTTAAATATTTATTTATTAAAATGTCAAGAAATACCCCAGTTTGTATTACTATTTATTTAGTTTTATGTAGTAAAGATATTAAATGAAAACACACCGAATTAAAGAATATTTTTGTTAATTATATAGCCATACAATTATATTTGTTAATATTCTTTGATTTAATTTTCAAATATTGGTTTAAAATTACTGCAAATATTATATTTCCTTATATAAGAATAAAGGTTTCATTTAATTTGGAAAAAGTTTCATTCTATTTGTAAAAGGTTTCATTTCAATTGGAAAAGGTTTCATTCTATTTGTAAAAGGTTTCATTTCAAGTGGAAAAGGTTTCATTTAATTTGGAAAAGGTTTCATTTAATTTGGAAAAGGTTTCATTTAATTTGGAAAAGGTTTCATTTAATTTGGAAAAGGGTTCATTTAATTTGTAAAAGGTTTCATTTAATGTGGAAATGCTATATATTAAATTTGTCGTTCTTCTTGCAACACACCATAAAGTATATGTATTCTTCATCAAAATAAAATTCTATGTCGATTTAGCCATGGCCGGTCCGCCTGTTGAAGTCACGATAGAGCTCGCAATGTTTATAATAAAGCTCCTACAAAAATTAGTATTGGAAATGGGATATATCTCAGTATTTTAAAGCCTGTGGGTATACTTTCAATAAACTGTAATTTACTATTTTGGGTACTTACTGCGTAAAACATCTTCCTACCCCAATTTTCGGTATTGTGGAGATTTGTGCAAGTTTTTCAAATGTATTGTCGTTAGTTCGATTTTTCATGTTTTCATGGGGGACACCCGGTCTTTCTACCAATAATGTTTAATATCGTTTTAGCACCCACATAACAGTCCCCTTTTCGGTATTTTTAAGACTTTAGTCGCATATTCCCACAGATGTGCTTGTAATTCGCTATGTACTTCATACATATATAGAGAAAATTAGCTCCCACATAAAGGTAGCGGCCTTTCGTCAGAATTTTGAAAGTTTTCGCTCCATTTTCTGTAGTGGTTACATTGGAGGATAAACACGGATTTTTGCGATCCAAGATTTGATATAGCCACCTCCAAATAATTTCTAAGCCAAATTTCTTCATCGAAATGGCTATAATTTGCTATATGGGAATTCTGATGGAATGATTGGGTCTTTGGTGCACTATTATTTATTAAATCCTAATGTGGCACGATATACAAATTTCGTATATATAAGATAAACCTTGGGATTTTAGTACACCAATTACATAAATCCGACAAAAATATATATTAGAACTAATCTAAATTATATTCGATTTTGGTCAATCTGGTACGATATTCAAAATGTCATCTCAATCGGACTATTGTAACAATGGATAAAATTATATGGATCATCCGAAGGCAGGTCAAGTTCGATGGTGTGCTATATGTTTGATGGATGTTGGTCGATTATTTTTAGATAGTACAGATCACCAATATTCAAGTATTTTGGGAGATTTTTGAACCGATTCTCATTAGGTACCAATCCTTCTGCCATTTCAAGTAATTGTCCTTTTCTATCGCCTTTTCACTGAATTAACGGCGACAAAAAAATGACACACAGGTCTTACAAAATTTAAAATCGTTCAAGTCTTTCCAAATTTCTTCTTCGATAATATACCTCATGGCAGACAATTTATATTATAGATCCATGTTTTGGCATAGCCCCAATTTATGGAGACTACCAATTGTATATATTTTAAATGCACTCTACATATATGAAATGGAAAGTATTTATACCCTTCAACACACTGTGGTACAGGGTATTATGTCATTGTGCATATGTTTGTAACAGGCAAAAGGAAACGAGTTAGACACGTGGTTCCTTTTGAGAATATTCATAAAATCACTTTTTAAGTCGATTTATGCATGTCCGTCTGTCCGTCCGTCCATGTATATTGTTAACAAAGTAGAGGTCGTATTTGTGATCCGATTTGGATGAAATTTGGCACAGTTCACTTTTTTGGTCCAAGGACGAACCGTATTGAAATTGGGAAAAAATCGGTTCAGATTTAGATATAGCTCCCATATATAGTTTCGTCCGATTTCATGTAAATGGTGCACTTAAGTCCCTATATATCCTTCGAGTTTCACGAAATTTGGGATAGCTTACTGAATTAAGTCTAGAACGATGTGTGTTAAATTTCCTGAAAATCGATTCAGATTTAGATATAGCTCCCATATATATTTTCGTCCGATTTAATGTATATAATGTACCAAAGTCCCTATATGTCTTTTGATTTGCACGAAATTTGGCACAGCGTACTGAATTAGAACGATAGTAAAGTTTCGTGAAAATCGGCTTAGATTTGGATATAGCTCCCATATATATTTTCGTCCGATTTTAGGTAAATAGTGCACCAAAGTCCCTATACATCCTTCGATTTGCACGAAATTTGGATTTATAAGTTAATGAAGAACTCAAAATGTGGCCGAATGCACAAAACATACTGAAATAAGTGTAACCTAACATTTGACAAGTTTAGATGAAATCGGTTTAGATTTCTATCTTTTGCTTTAAATTTATTTACATAATTTTGTCCCATTGCACTATGGCTGAAATCACGATTTTGGCGGCAAAAAGTCAATTTTTCAACATTACAATTTAAAAAAAATTGACAGCATTCAATACACAACATATTGATAAGAATAAATCAAAAACAAAAATTACTATTGGCAACCCTGTTTACGCACAAACAGCTGTTAATGTTTACATAACCTCTAACACGTGTAATTACAAGTGAATCAGCAATTTGTTTGGTAAAATTAAAAGCTGTTTTTTTTAAAAATAAATTTTTGTAAAAAAAAACTTTGTAAATATGAATTCTAATACTCGAGGTGAGTACTTTTACTATATAAATACACTTTGCTAAATGTTCGTATTTCGTGCGTAGTTTCGTGTGTTCTATGCGAATTTTTTGTGTGAAATTTTTTAGAGTTTTTTAATTTTTCGTGGAGTAAAACTAAAAATGTAACAAAGTGTTACGGGAACTTTTTATATGTGATTGTTCGTAGAAAACTCTAGTTTTATGTCATGCTGAAAGTGTCTGCTAATGACTGCTAACGAATGAATTATTCATCTTTTTGCAGAAATACTCAGATTCAAAAATTCCGAAATATTTGAGTTTTGGTTGAGAAATAAGAGGAATGTATCGAATTACATAAAAGGAAAAATTCCATACGAAGTTGATTCTGATTTAAGTAAATTAATTTGTACTAAATCACGGAATTTATCTATTTTTATTAAACGACAATGGGATAGACAATGCAGAAATGAGAAAGGATTTAGAAAATATAATAAGGATTGGTTGGGTCGAGAAACAATTTTATTTGTACCGAAAAATATCAATGTTATCGGTCGTCCAAAAACTACCTATGTTGATAGCGGCGAAAGAAATAAAAGGAGATTAGCTTCCGAATTAGCTTTCCAACAAGGAGACAATACGCAACTATTAGTTCATGCTGCCTCTATATCTGCCAAAAAATCGCACTCAGCGGATTTGACATTTGTCCTACAACAAGTTGTTATATCTCCAAACCGACCATCCAAAATTCGAAAAGTTCTTAATACTAGCCATAAAGAAGTTACACCAATATCACCTGAAGACGCTCTGACGTTTTTGTTAAAAAACGGATTAACTAAACAACAGTACAAAAATATGCGTCAATTAAATTTAAAACATTATTGTATTATTTACCCGACTTATGATAATGTTTTTAAGAGCAAATTGAAATGTAGACCGGATGAAATCAAAGCGAATGAAAACTCTGTGCAAGTATCGATGCAAAATTTATTAGACCACACAGCTAGAAGAATTCTTCAATATCAAGATGAAGTATTGTGTACAATGGATGTTGAAGACTCGGTCCTAGTTTTAAGCTACGGTTTTGATGGCTCTACCGGTCACAGCTTGTTTAAAAAAAAATTTTTGCAAAATGCTTCGGAATGTTTCGACCAGTCCCTTTTTGTCACATCAGTCATACCAATAAAAATAATTTCATCAGCAGGTGATAATATTTGGGTTAACCGTACGCCCCAGTCAGTACGCTTTTGTAGACCTTTAAAAGTGGAGTTTGTTAAAGAAACAAAAACACACATTATATCCGAAAATCACAACATAAATAATCAGATTAAGAAGTTGGAACCACTACAATACATATTAAGTAATGGGAAACAAATTAAATTCAACTATAATTTATATATGACATTAATAGACGGGAATGTTTCGAGTTTGTTTTAAAACTTTCATACAAGCTTGATTTGAAAAAATGGCAAGTTCGCGGAGCAGAAGAGAAAAGAATCCTTTTAAAAAAGAAACAAAAAATTCAAAGAGAGTTTTTGCTTCAAATGGGCCTTCATGTCGATAAGCCGAAAGCAAATGGCACTGGAAACACCATCGATGGCAACACAGCTAGAAGAGCATTTTCTCGCACGGAACTTTTTGCATCTATTACTGGTATAAATGTCGATTTTTTGAAAAGTTTGCACGTAATCCTAATTGCCCTCTCCTCTGAATTTGAAATTGATTCTCAAAAGTTTAGCGCTCATTGTATTAAAACTAGTGAAATATTTTTCCAAAACTACGAATGGTACTCGATGTCTGCCACATTACACAAAATTTTAGTCCATTCATCACAAATAATTGGAGTATCAGTAGTACCCGTAGGTTGCCTTGCAGAAAATGCATCTGAAGCGCGAAACAAATATTATAAAAAAGACAGAGCTGGCCATGCTCGAAAGGATTCAAGAATGCACAACATACTTGACATGTTTCATAGAGCTATGGATAACTCTGATCCTTATATATCAAATTTATTTTTAAAAGAACGTTCAAATAGTTCAAAAAAGCTTCCATTTCCTCGAGAAGTCATTCATCTTTTTAAAATCCCAGAAATATCGCCAGAACTGCTTTTACCTTCAACATCTCAACAAGCTTCCAGGTACGATTATACTTCTGATTCTGATGAAACCTTAGAATCGTTTAATAATTATTCATTGGAATTAGAAACGGAAGAAAATGAAGAAACATTCCGTGATTAATTAAGCCCTATTCCTTTTAAAAATATATATACATTATAAATATATTAATTTCTTGATACCTTTACTTGTTTTTCTCATGCAAATTTTTAAATAAAAGTCCATATAATCGGGAAGTGCTTTCAAATCTATTTTTCATCATTACAAATTTGGTAAAGTGTGCTTATCGGGAAGGACTTTTTGTCATTACTTTGTAAGAAAGGGGCGTGACCCGCCCATTTTTTCTGAAATTATTTTGTTTACCTTTATAACTCTGCATACCAAATTCAGTGAAGCTGGCTCGTAAGGAAGACTTTTTGTCATTAGTTTGTGAAAAAAGGGGTGTGGCCCGTCCATTTTTTCTGAAATTATTTTTTTTACCTTTATAACTCTGCATACCAAATTTAGTGAAGCTGGCTTGTCGAGAAATATTTTATGCCGCGAAAATCGCGATTTCGGCCATAGTGCATTGTAAGAAACAACTCTATATCTGACCAAAATTTAGTATAGGTTTCAGAATGACATGTTTAATTTCATGTTAATTGTCCTTCAAAAATGCGACGTCTGTTAGGATTCCATCTGTTGGATATACCCAAAGTGGTAAAGGGTATCATATAGTCGGCCCCGACCGACTTTACTACTTTCCTTACTGGTTTACACTTATGGAACCGGTCGATTTAAACGAATTCTTTACATATAAGTATGAAACTAATTATCATCAACTATTATAATGGGTCCACACGAACTTTGGTATTTGAAGATTCTAATCACATTTTACATCCGAATTTGCTA